ACCGTAATGAATAGTGGTGATTTTTTAATGTTTATACGAAATTATTTATACTGAGAAAAATATCAGTATCCTGAGATAACAAATACAAGTAAATCTTCTCGAAAGTTAGCATCCATATTTTTAAACGTGTTCAAACGCAAACCCTTAAATATGTGAAAGTGACTTATGCCACTTTCAAAATAAACGGCTCATATATTCTGCCGTGCAATAATTCATATTCTAATCACGAAGATACGAAGAAGTATATTTGCATAACGCAATTATAACAGCCGCGTATTAGCGTATCAGTAAAAGCCGAAATCACTGTAAGAACAAAAATACAAAAATAAAACAATACAGTTGCGTTTCAAACATACAAGTTCGTACAAAATAATAATTATAAATTGCTGAATTGTGACGTTGCGATACACAGAAATTAGCACGCGGGTTTCTGAACCCATCCGGGGTTGTAAGGTCGTGAACCGATCGCGAATGCGTTTTGATTCCAGTGACACTGATTAATTCCCCGCCAAATCGATCTTGGGCAATTGAATCCGATCGGTGGAGCGGTGGTTGTGCGTACAATTATTGTAATCATATGTCCTCGACTGATGGACTTGATTTCCGAATTGCTAATGTAAGAGTTCGCGAGACGTGTAATGCGACTCTTTACTCTGGTCGATCGTGAGACAGTCGAATAATTCTCTTCGGAGCGAACGCGAGATGCTTGTAATGTCTTTTGATGAATCATCTCGTTTTTTCGGGAGTCTGTATGACGACCTCCAACTACCCTTGGAAAGGGTGAAAACGGTACCAGCATGGACGTGGAATCTTCGAAGACCTTGGCAATGTTGCGAGCTTCATCCAGGTCAACCGTCGGTAGCCTCGAATGTTGGTACGATTTCGCGAGACCCTTTGAAGTTTATCTTTTTGACGAACAGCATCCAGAAGCTGCTAAAGAACGGATACTGATTTGCTCGCGGGATTCCGCGGTTAGTGAAGAATGTCCATGAAGTTCTCAGCTGGTAGTAGACCGCTACGGCGGCCACGACGATCAGCGCCAGGATCACGGTCCACAGATCTATCATGATGGCCGTTTCACGTCAATAATTATTAACGACTATTTTTATTATTTTTTCGACGTAGTTTGCTCCAGATTCCGCGCCCACTTATGCCGAAAATTACGTAAATGCTCAGCGTACCGCGCCTGAATTACACGGCCTAAGTCGGTAGACGTGAACGATGTGACTTTCACTGACCATGTACATCGCAATTCTTGTTTTTACTACAATTCCCCTCGAAATTCCCGTACCTTGTCTATGTGCGTGTATGTACGTTTGTGCTTTCTCTGCTCGATTCGAAAATCTGAACGATTCTTCGTTTTTTCGTAACCAAGTTATCTCTATTGTTGTCAGTCGCATCTAGTCTACTCGTGTGTGCTTTATTTCTTCATAACGAGATAAAGCAAATGAAATCTAAAAAAAATTATTGTTTTCCATGAATAAAATAGCCTTACACTTGAAGTATTTTTAATGTTTCCTAATAGTCCAAATAAATCGCAGACAGAAGTGATATTTTAACAGAAGAACCTATAATATCATCTAGGTCCATTTGCATTCAGCAAAATGCATCAAATTTTGCATCTTTTAGAATGTTCTAAACTGTCTAATATTCTAATTAATTGGAATAATCCAGACTTTAAATTAGTCCATAATAAACATAGATGAATTCAATATTCACACAAAAATTTCAAATAAAATTTCCATGTTTCACGGTAGAACTTACTGCGTTCCCTTTAAATATATACAATGTTTTTGTCGGCGTCGGTGTTTTGTTGAATCTATAAAATTTCCAATAACGCTGTTCCAATCGTTTATTATTACATTGATCAAATTTAATATCGCAGGAATGTTCAGCGGACTATTTTCTGATATATTTTTTGTTATTACGCGACGACCCGGTCGTATTTCAAAGTGCAGCCTGTTGTCTTTGATGCAGTTTTTTTTCTGGCATGCAATACATTCCGACCCGACAAACAACGTCGTGATGCAATGATTTCTGTCCAGTCGTTATTGAATGACAGGAATTTAAATTTCCAATATCGACGTTCGTCCGAGAAAAGGCTCGGGGTTTATTATAATTATTATATACACGTAACTAATACATGTTGTACTGAAAATGTAATAGCATATCATGATGTAACAGTGATCGGAAGTGTTGCATCTTGTGCGAAGCATATACCGTTCAGATTGCAGAGACTATGACGACAGTGGAGTAAGGTATTCGCAACCGGTTTCTTTCATCGAACTGGTCATTTGTTGCTTCAGGAGCTGCAGTAAGATATCAAAATTTCGTCAGATTACGTTTGCGAGGAATGAATAACATTTCATTAACACTTTGATTGCCACGTCATCCCAAATAATTTGTAAAGTTAAAGCATTTATTTTAATGGAATTAAAATTGAAATGTTAAGCTGTATGACATTATTTACTTTTCCTCTGTCACTGCGAAATAAATGAGTAAATAGTTTCTGATTCATATGTTAGTAATTCACTGGTTTCGTCTGATGAAATCATTAATTAAAAAAATTCTTTATGTATCTTTGTATGTCTATCACCTTTATTATTATAGTCAATACTTATATTAATTAATGTTTTCAGTCGATTAACCTTTATCTGTTGCAAACGAAATTCATTCTAGATAAATAAAAAGGTTTTTATATATGTTTATTTTCTTAGTTGGATGACTTTTGAAAATTAAAATTTAATTTCATTCCTCATTCTTCTGTCTGATAAGAGAGATCCATTTTAATTAAATAAGTTATTGATTGACGAGAATAATTGAACTCGGTGATGTCTATTCAAGTTTTTAATGTTTTCTATAGTAAATATTGAATTTGAAAATATGTTAGTTTACTCATGA